TAAAAAGTAAATAAATAAAAGCTTTTTGCCATAATTAAAAACTTCCATTTAGTACAGACATTTTAATGATTTACATTAAATTTTATTTACAAACAATTTATTTATCTACATTAAAATGTAGATTCAGATGATAAATAAATTATAAATTAAAAAAGTTTAAACTTGACTATACGATAACTCATTTAAAATTGGTCGACTATATTTACGTTTTTAATAAAATACAAAAATATAGAAGACAGATATCCGTCTTCACAATCACCAGCGACAAACAATTTTCATCTACAGACACGACCTTTCGATAGAGGCTACGCCTCTGCAATAATGCAAATTGGTTATAACTCAACTGTCATTGCTGAAAACCAATTTGCATTATTGCAGAGGCGTAGCCTCTATCGAAAGGTCGTCTCTGTAGATGAAGATTGTTTGTTGCTGGTGATTGTGAAAACGAATATCCGAAGACATTTTCTATCTTCTTTATTTTTGTATTTTATTAAAACTATACGATAATTGTTCTGTTTTCTTACATCAGGATAACTTTAATTACTTTTAGAGGTTAGAGCCCACTTGGACGACGGATCGGATGGAATCGCATCGGTATGTGCACCACACTCGGTCGCATTTCAGCGACGGAAAGAATGGAATTTAGAGCAAAAGAAACAGTGAAAATATTCAAACGGGGTGTTTTTTTTGGTGTAAATAACGTCCACGAATTAGTGGTAATGAACTGTCTATTATTAGGTGATGATGCTGTATATTATTTTATCATTAATTTACAACATAATTTACAGCACCTAATAAAAGGGAAAAACTACGAAGAACTATATTATAATTCTTCGTAATTTTTTCCTAGAGAAATTAAAGTAGCGTCTGAATTACTGTTTTTTTTTTTTTTTTTAAATATGTAAACTAATAAAAGAAAAGGGGCAAATGACAGTACTCTTCTCACGTTAGATGTCCATCAGTCAAATGTTAAGGTGGCAGCCTACTCAGAATCGAATCTGGACGGATCGAAAAAGTCTCAGTAATTTTTCGAGAAGTGGTCAGTACGATATTTGGTCCTGTCTTTCTCCATTCGGCCGCCATATTATGGGCCTGACTCAATTGGGCTCACAATGAGGAAAAAAGATAAAAATTGCACAATGCTAAAAGGACTCTTATTTCTCATAGGGTGGGAAAACTAAAATTCCCAGAAAAGTAAGTGTTTCCCTAAAAAAAAAAAAAAAAGCAGTTTCAGTTAATAAGTGAAGTGCAAGTGATTTCGATAGCTAGGCATCTGGGTTACTGATCTTGACGGTACGAGGCTGACAGGCCGAAATATTGCTTCCTCCAGAATACAAGACGGATTTCCACCCGTGCAACTCGTCCTCTCCGTTTGTCCACCAGTCTAGTGTGACTTTTTATCCGTCCATTCCATCCGCCCAAGTGTGCGCTTACTCTTACTCCACGACTAACCGACGAGTATGTTGTGTAGAGAATGCAGTTCAAAGAACACGGGAATTAAGAGCACATATCGTCAATTCCACATTCCACATCTGTAAATGAAGTAAAATTATTGAATATCGTTATTTAAATCCCTAAATTCATTAGAAGACCTACATAATATATACTTTAGGGGAGCAGAGCCAAATTTCGTCCTAACGGCTAAATTATAAACTATAGTTTTATTTCGAAAAGTGAAACCGCATATTCGAGACAGCATGTGAATCAAATTTGGTTAATATTTTCCCAATAGTTCTTTCTACACAGTGTTCTGAACAACTACTCTTTAATTATGATCACCTTGTATTTTTTCTAAATTCTTCGATAGTAAAATTGAAAACTATATTTAAAATTTTTGTGTGTGGCTATAAAATTTTATTATATCATATAATCACAAATATGGGTATTTAATTACTATAATACATTTCTGACAATAATTTTTGCTTGGGTTCAAAATGTAATTGTTTTTCAATTCTCAACAACTCTAAATACAGTATCTTTCATTTATAAACTTAAAAAAGCGAAAATACATAAATTTTGATTGTTATTTCATAAAATTTTACGATGCTTCTATAAGTGTAACATATATTATGTAAGTTTTTTCTAATGTTCTGTCGTCTAAAAAGCCTACAACTCACATTGGCCTATCTAGAAATATAAATTTTAGTATATTCTTGACTGGTGTTTACTTACGTGTCCTTTTTTAATTAAAAAAAAACACTGTTTTGAAGACATTTGATTGTAGATTCAGTTTTTTTTAATGTTGTGTTCTAACTATTTATATAATTTTAGAAATTTGCAACGAAGAGTAAGTAAAAATATCAGTAAAACGCTCGGTTGGAGCAAATAAACTAGAAGAAACCAATAATTAAAAATTAGTCTAATTAAATTTTAAATTCCATGCTTTATCCATCTGAGAATTGATTCTAAAATCACATTTTGCACTCAAAAAGATTCACGGTTTTGCGTGTTAATTTAAACATGCAGAGACGATAATATTCTCTTAGTCTTTCGGATAAGTAATGCATGTCTTCTTATTAAAAACAAATTATTTTTCTTATTAGTTTCTCAATTCTTTTTTATTCGTTTTTTTTATTTTCTCGTATTCTCGTGGGACATTTTTATTAGTTTTTCGAATTAATCGAATTATAAGTAACTTTCATGATTTTATTTTTTTCCTGAAAGACCGTCATAAAGTGAATAAGCTGTATCCTAAATTGAAATTATGTTTATGAAAATAATTTTAACTATATTAAAAACTTTAAGAAAGAATATAGTAATTAAATACGGTACAATTCATGTAGTCATAATAAATAATTTTTATACTTGTCGTAAAAGCCTAAGCTACGGCATTTCAACGAATTTCTTTCAATTGGTGAAGTTTATTTTAGATTTATTTATTAAATATACGCTATTCACTGCAACGTACGTGCGCAAGATTAAATTAATATGTGCAAGCAGGCCGCGTACACTGAGAATTTGGGCTTAACCCCCATATTTGAAAAGAATTGGACTAGGTTAATAAAACAGGACCCATTCAGTTCCTCCTTAGTCTACTATATTATGTTACTCTACATAATTATATTGTAAAAATTAATAAACTGCGTTATGAAAAAAAATGTATGTTTTTTTAAAACCTCATCCTTTTAAGATTCTTACGCAAGCAATATACAATATAAAAATCATATGACTTTTTGTATTGTTCTTTAAATTTAGTACGTTTTATCAAGTTTCCACCAAGCCATTCATTGTCGATTTATAGTCTTATTAAACACTAAAATCATTGAAAAGGAAACTATAAAAAGGAGATGGTTATTAACTTTTTCTTTAAATACTTTCATGCTCAAAATATTAAAACGTGATGACTTTAATTAATCATCAATAAACCATGTAATAACAAATGGAAACGTCACGATAAGCGGAAAAGTGTGACGTGCCTACAAGCGCATGTAATTAGCATATATTTTTTTCTTTTTATATATATATATAATTTTAATTTAAAATTATTTAGATAACAAACAATAACGTTAACGTGACGATAGTTTAAATTTACAGTTTTATCTTTAATCGTTACCATTTAATTAATAATTTCAAATTAACTTGCTTAAAATTTGTTGAAGTATTAATAAAATATTTCGATTATGTTGGGTTTAGAAAATTTAATTTTTAATTATAAATATCTTTGCTGTATATTAATTAAAAAGTTATTATTCTAAACAATAGATGGAAGCACAAAAGTATGCCATAATAAATAGGCCTGCATTTTATTCATATTAGGTTAATAATTATACCGTTAATTAGGTTTTGCATGTTTTATTTTAAATTCTTAAATTACGATAATATATTTAGATTCGAGTTGAAATGTTGTGATCCTTAACCGTAATACAGCCAAGGTTTTGTGAATTTAAACTTTTAACCTGAAGTTCATTAAAGCTATTTTGTTATGCTCTATGGATCTAGATACTTAGACTCGCGCTATTAGTTACAATAGGCCGTTGGAGCAAAATTTTTCTTGGGTCAGATACTTGTTTTTAACTACACAATATTATATATATCATAATAATTAATTAAACAACATTCATAAGATTGAATTGAAGCGTTTTTTCATTGTTTCTAATAAATTCCGAGACGTGTACACTGGATTAAAAATGAATTTAGCTGTAACTTGATGTAACTTTCGACGCCCTTTTTGTACAGTTAGAAGTACAGGTTTAGAGAACAAATATACATTTAGTTATATTATATAAATTTCTTTTGTGCGAAATTAAAATAGAAACCAGAAAATCGTGAAATTTCTATGTAATGCCTACCTATTTGAATATAAATAGAAACCATTTGTACTCATTTGAGATGAATAAACAACTTAAACGAGTCCAAGTGTTTTTTTACAACGAAAAAAGGTATGAATGGAAACGTGAAATTTAATTAAACGTATCAAATTTGTTTCTTTTCTCGTTAATACAAGTGGAGATGCATCATGAAATCGAAATGCTCAATTGAGTTAAAAATATTTGTTATAAAAAGTAAATGGCGACGGGACGTTGTGTTAAATGACGATGAAAATGATGAGCATTAACCACCTGTGACATATTTACTGAAAAATTTAAACATTTTCTCTCAACCAGAAAATAATGTGTAACATGAAACCTATCTTTATATAAAACTATAAGTATAATCTTTCAATATAGTCTAATTAAATTATCTTCCTATGAGTTTTTACTCGAACAGATTTTTTTTCTATATATAAAACTATATTTTATTCTTCCGTCTAAAACATTTTTCTATTAATAAATTTACTGATATATTTTTTAAAAAAAGCTATGTATTAAGCCATTAAAACAATTTACAATACGTGAAGTCGTGTAATAACTAGATTATTAAAAAAATGTGTTTCACACTATCACTCAACCATTTAATGACAAGTAACACCCCGAATAAAAAAAGAGAGTAATTTTTTTGTTTTAAATATTAAATATTACACATTTATAACAAGAAATTTAATAAAAATATTATTTACACTGTCGAAATATAATTATTAAAATAATTGTTCAATGTCTGATACATCTCTTTTGTATGATAATTAGCTGATATTCGATCAGATGATCAATTTATGAAATGATTGATCACAATTAACTGATAACTTATAATTGAAATGTATTAAATCACATATTAATAATGCGTTTTAATCTTCTTTACAACATAAATTGGCCACAGTTCTTACGATAACAGTTCAGGTTTTGGTGTTGCTGCCAGGTCTTTCTCTACTTGTTTCCAGGATCTAAATTTTTTCAAATAATCTTTTAGAACAGGTCTCACTCCGTAAGCGTATCTGTATGGTTTATATCCGAAAGTGTATCGAATTGCAATAAATGGGCTTCTTGTATACGCACGTGAATTAAATTTTGGTGAATAATAGGCGTACATGTAATCATTTTTCAATGAATTATCGGAGAATCGATAGGGAATTGGAGCTATTTTAGCATTTTCATGTCCGGAATATTCTCTGCTGCTTACTAATTCTAAACAAAGGATGAAAAGGAATATCTGAAAAGAAATTAATAATAAAATTAGGCTGCAAAAATTATTTTAAATAATAAATTAACTTACAACATTATATTTAGTTTTCCTTTTTTTTTAAAATAGAAGCAAAACATTCCATATTTAGAATTATTCGAGTTTAGTATCTATAATTGTTCGTAACCTTCGATAGTTTCGATCGAATATAAAAACTTTCTTATTTCAGTTCTCAACGAGGATAAGCAATGTAATTTTAAAAACATTTAAAAAGTTAATAAGACATTATCAACATTTATTTGTTTAAAATGAGTTAATATAATTTTGGAAAATAATAGAAACCAGTTTTAAGCACCTGGGGCGTATTCCCAAGAATTTTAAGGAAATAATAAACAAAGTATATCTTAATGGTAGCTTTAGTCGATTTCACGCGAGTGCTTTTTCTTTGAAAATTAAACTGGCAGCAAACAGCGAAACACCTTTTCAAAATACAAACAAACACAAATAAAAAAGCACTTTTTTTGGTAATGTAAGGTACAGTACGCTTACAAAGGATTAATTTCTATCAAAACGAATGTGTTATAAGAATTCCGGCTATAAAATTATCTTTTTATTTTCAAGGCTACAGAACTTTTTGCTGGTCAGTGTTATGCAGTATATGGCACTGATTAAGCCTTTATTATCTTTGATAAACTTGTTTGCAAGGATAAATGTAATGAAATCTTTCATTTATTTTATTGTTTATTTCTTAAAGTTTTCTAAAGTCACTTTCAAAATATTTCAAATAAATAGCGAAATTTAAGTTAAAATTACTAAAGTAAATTATTTTATAAGCCATAAAAAATTTCATATATCAAAATAGCGTATTAATAATGAAGTTTATTAATGATACGTATAAAAATATATAATATTAATAACAGGAAAGGATAGCAAGAATCAAAAATAACATCAAATTACGACTAGCATTATTATATATTTAATTATTATCTGCATGGACAAAAGAATTGCTTTTAAATAACCGAAAATAATAGAATTAAAAATATTATTATTTCATAGTCAACTCTACTGTTCTATATATTTTTCACGATATTTTAAATTTAAAAAATTTCCAGATTTTTATTTTTATTTTTAAGTTGAGGAAGTGAAAGCTTCTCTTGTCACGAGAAACAATAAATCTATTCCTCTCTTTCTTTAGAGAATGTTAATGAATAAACAATATAAATTCATAATATCCAAAAAATATTACATCATTATTTATTTTCATTATATTATCGGATAATAATTAATTAAACAGGAAAAAAAGAGGGCAAGAGTTTTAAAAATCACGTTTTGTTACTAAATTGTTGCATAATGTATCATTAACAACAACGATTACTCATAAATGTTAAAAGTTATACGACAGTGATTAATAATATTCTGAATTGAAGCTACTCACCAGTATCATGGTTGAAGAGAAATGAGTAGAACACTGAGCTTGTTAGTCTCGCTTTCAAGTGAACTAACTCCTCCTTGATTCTTAAAGGACGTTTGCTTTCGAACCTGTATCTAGGACAAAAAACTTGTGCATTTGTTTCGTTTCCAGTTTTTTTCCCCCTATAATTCCTTTATCTAGATTCGCGATTATGCGGTGAAAATTGCATTTATGCGATGTATATCGAATTTATTATAACGACTCTTTTGCAAAAATACTACAAAGATAATAGGTTTAATTGTATGATATATGTTATCTTTATTATATTGATTACATGCATATTTCATGAGTTTACATATTGTGCAAATTGTAAGTTTAAATTGTATACAAAATCTACAAATGTAAGTACTTTGTTATCAGGGTAGGAGAGTGAAATATGTCAGAAAGAAAATGACACATATTACAAATAATTAGAGATTTCTTATTTCACAATACAAAATGCAATGGTTTACTATGAGTTTGTGCTGTTCTTTTAAGATAGAGAAGTTTGTTTAATTTATCTGTTGTATATTAAAATGAGAAAAATTACATTTTTATAATCATTTTTGGCAATGATTATAGATAAATAGTTTGAAAACAAAGATGTTTTCCTAATTTCCTTAATTCTTTAATTTCTCTTTCACATTTAAACACACGATGACATCGATAGCTTTATTAAAAAAAAAGTTTATTACTTATGACTACTGTTTACAAGAAAATAGAAAATGATATTTAATCGAACCTCCAATAACGACCACTATCTAACAACGATCACCTTTAAATCGCGGCCATTTTTCGACAAGTTAAACAAAGCTGCATACAAAATAACCTTCTAACGATGGGCACTCCTAACAATATTATTAAATTTCTAGTCAGTAGCCATTGTTCAGAGGCTTGACAGTATTAAATATTACATTATAATATAACATAAATTAGAGAATATTTAGCATTTTTTTATTTTATATTTCGTCAATTTTTATTTATTCTTAGATCAAGTAAATGTCGAACATATTTAATCTGTTCATAAAATACATAGGTCTATACATAGCGTACAGTACATATGTTATTAATTTACGCTATAAATAAGCTTTCATCTTTAAAAAATATATATATATACTTATCTTAATATAGGTNGTCAACATCACACAGATTAATATGTACTCCTAAGTCTCTGGAACGGAATACATGCACCAGTGAACCTACAACCACACGATTTATATGTTAAAAATAATTAAATTCACTTAGCATTCAAAACTTGCGAATTTTGAAAAAAAACAAATTTGCTGATTAAATACGGACAACCGTTTAACTGAAGTAAAACGGGTTTTCCCCTTGCTATGGATGTCTGCCTAGTTCAGTTCAGCCACATTCCGCTACAGCTAACCTTTATTATCAGTTCGAAATGGGGTGGTTCCATAATACCCGCAGTGTTCCATAATACCACCTTCTCCTCTATTTATTATTGATAAATGCAAACTTTGCAAATGGACTTATACTCCGTATAGGTTATGCAATATTGAAATTTTATAAGAATAGATTTCAGAATCGTAAAAATAAATTATTCTTAAACAAACAGTTGGGCTTACAATTCAGAAAAAGAAAAATACTGTGGATATACAATAAATCTGAATTAGATATAGGTGTCGCCATCTATTGATACAAATATTTACTTTACAATATATACAGTATAATATACTGTACAGTATATATACAATACATATATTCATTTATTTATGTAATTTATATCTATTATTAAGTTGCTGAATTAATTTATTAAAAAGTTTTATAAATAATTAATAAATTATACAGGAGAGAATTTAATATTAGGAGAGATGTATTGTTCTTTATAATAATTGGAAATGTATTAACAAATAAATGATCGTTGTAAAGACGGATGATTTTTAAATCCTTCAACGCCATCAGTAGACCTTCCTGGGTGCCTAGGCATAGATTGGATTATCTCTACATAGTTTTACATCATAAAATAATAACGTCTAATTGTATTATAGCTGTAGAATTATTTATAAATTATGATATACAATTGTAATAGTAAAATTACTTTATTTTTTCCAATATCTGGACATCCAAAAGTAGACATGTGACTAGGGGCGTATCTAGGGAGATGCTTATAGTGCTGCATCACCTCATTAATACTAAAGCAACCAGTTTTGTTACGGTACTTTAAAATAAAAATAAAATTATAACAACGCATATCACATAACTTGAATTAGGTAAGACTAGGTAATTAAAGTAACTGTAAGGTAATTGAGTTACATTTTCCGAAAAACGACAGATTTTTCAGAGGCACAGAAACATGTGTCTTGGTCTCCTCAATTCTGACTTGAACAACAATCTCAAAATCCTGGCTACTCCACTGCATATGCTTCATGTGCTTAATGAGAAAGTAGGCACTATATATCATTATAAAAATTTATACATTAAACATTTTTTAGACTCATTAATGAAAAGTAATGTGATTAAAGTATGTTTCTTTATTCATTTTTACGGGATATAATTTTTAATAGGATTTAAGATACAGAAAATAGAACATATAATAACAATTTAAGTTTGCTGTTATAGTCAATGTTGCGGCCTAGCAACGAAAACACTTTTAAACTGTCACTTTTAGTAATAATCACTGTTAAAATAGAAAGTAATAGAAGAGAAAAAAGTTTTCGGATTTAAATAGCAAAGATAATTTTCTTAAAGATTTAGGTGTTTGCTTTTGTCATACCCTTCTCGAAAAAAGATTTCTTACTAGATAAAGGTTTACAGCGATTTATCGCTACTGTCTAGCCAATATATCACTATTTCGTTTCCAATCCAATAGAAGTAGTGAAAGAGATCCATCTCTTTTCTCTATATTGCTTTCACCCCTTTCTTAATTAAAAGTTAGGAAAGCTTCTCTGTTGAAATCGGATGAGATCTTTAACCTTGAAAATAATTTTCAAGGTTAACAAAAAGATCCCATCCGATATTCCATATATGCCTTTCTATGTAACTACATTACTAAAAATTAATATACTGTATCTTCAGTAGTTTTGGAATGAAAAGGGTGCAAGGGGCTTTTGACTCACCTTGTAATATAATTTAAGCTTTTACAGTAATATAATGTTAGGATGTAAATCATTTTGTGATCATGTAGTTATAATGTCACCTGTAAAAATTTACTGCTGAAGGCATTATGCCTATTTTACCTAAGTATAAGAAACGCCTCTGATTGATCTGCAATTTGAAAAACTTGTAGATCTATAAATTTCTACTGTCGTCCATCCGTCCGTCTTTTCTTAATCTCAAGAACGGAATTAGATAGATGAAAGTCAAGCCNTATTTATTGATGTTTCTGTAATGAATTTAATTTTAGTTTTTAATATAAATTAAAATTTATGTAGTAAAAAGTAAACTAAATCATTTGATATGTTATGCCAGGCGAATTCTTATGTACCTCTTTGTGCACGCCTCCTGTAAGTTTGCCATCCTTGACCTAAACACAATTTCAAAACTAGTGAAAACATTCTGTCAACGACACATTTATAGTAATTTTTTTATTGCATAAAGTAAACCAATAACGAATTTAAATTCAATTTAGAAACAAATTATGATATAGTATACCGAAATATCATTTTGAAAAATATCAATAGAGCGTTAAAATTGTTTGTTTTCTTCGTATTGTTTCGTATTTGATTATTATTTATCTATAAATAAATTCATATATCGGCCATTTTTATCGAACGTTAAATGGCACCGAAAATTCAGTTTATATTTTCATCAGCTAAGGTGAAGCTCAGCAGAGATAAAAACACTGAATACTGATCGCGGGTTCGCGCCTAATCAACGGGCTGGCCACGTGGAGTTTTTCGGATTTTCTTCACGTGTCTAACACCTAAATAGGAACCACTTTACCCATAGAAAATCGGGACCCTGATTGGCAAATTACTCGTGTGTTGCTTTGCCGTTTCTCACCAATCTAATCCAATCACGCAAAGTAATAATTTAATTAATTTTATAATACAATATTTAAAGTTACGTATAAAATACTATAATTGTAACTTTAATTAAAACTATAAACTTTATTTTAAAATTATAACACACTGAATATAATGTATGACATAATAAAGCTCTAAAATTTATTTCTTTTGTCGTTTTTTCTAAAAAGTCTACGTGTAATTTAAGCATTAGACTATTATTTAATTTAATATTCCATTGTTTTCGTGAGAATTTTAGTAATGCAAATGATATATTCAATTCGCTTCCAGGGAAGAAAGTTTGTAAGATTGGCTTTTAAATTCGGTGAGCAACTAGGGCAAGTCATTGCTATATAATTATTTGTTACTTAAGAAGGCTCATTACTGACTCATTGCAAGAATTTATATTTACAATATATGATTTACGTAATAAGCTCATATGTAAAAAGTTATGTAAAATGAAAGTTACATCATTATAAAAATGTGATATGTGAAAACCTGAAGCGAAATAAGTTTTTCGAATAAAAATACAATGATTCATTATGAAATTAAAATGTCTTTAAGCGTCAATACTCATGTTTTTTATCTTTCGATATTTTAAGAATATTTGAATATTATGGTCTTATTTTAAGTCCTAATCTAAACTGAAGCACTTAGCCTGCTCTGAGACTAATGTAAAACTTTATATTTCTAAATGGGCATAAAATAACAAGGGTGACAATTTGGGTTTTACCAAAAAATAGAGTAAATCAAGCTCTAAAATACGCTTGAGATCTAAACGCAATCAATTTCTGTTAGGAACTTGTCTTTCAAGAATAACTTCTCTATTTGATTTTAGTAACAAAAAACAACTCAAATTTACGGTCATTTGCAGTCTGGATGACTTGTAGGACATCTCTAATCTTTGCACCTTACTAGGATCTATTCGATGTTATTAATAATATCTCCAAGCTGCTAGAGAAAATAGCAAAATGAATCTTGTTAACAATTATTTAAGATTTATGATTAATCAAAAGTACTTATCCAGCCTTGTGATTCTTACCATAGAAAATAGAATATATTTCTTTTTTATTATGGCGTTTTTTGTTTTCC